ATTCTGATGCAGTTCAAGATAATATCTAATCACATCAATTTTCGACGGAGTGTTTAAACATGTCCTTCAGTTTTGGGCGAGTTCAGTTACTTTTCAAGAGTTGGCTTGTAGGGATTTGATTTTTCTTTCAAGTTGGCCCACGGATTGATATCAGTTAGAGGACCAGTAAAAACCAGAGTGTACTGGGGAGATGTTTCATCCTAGTTTGGGACTTATCGGTAGTACGCACCCACCAGGCTTCGAACCCAGGACCTTCCGGTTACAAGGCAAGCTCGTAGACCATTCAGCCACTGAGACCCAATTCAATGGCCCATGAATTCTAACTTCTACCAATTCGTGATTTCTAGCGTGACCACCAGCCAATCTGATCGGCGAGCATTTGTCCTCACTTTCGACAGGATGGACCCCACTGTTCACGACTTCTCGCTAGAATTCCAGGAAACTCCATCTACGAGCTTGCCTTGTAACTGGAAAGTCCTTGGTTCGGAACCCGGTGGGTAAGTACTACCGATCAGTCCCAAACTAAGACGAAACAGCTGTCCAGTACTCCCTGGTCTTCACTGATTCTCTAACCGATATCAATCCGTGGACAAACTTGAAAAACAAGTTCAGTTACTGTCGCAACAACATCAGAAGTAGTATGAAACCTTCCAAGTTAAGCTGATAGAAATACTCATTAATAAATTATCTTTGCAGTTAACTGGTCATCCCCACATACTGAGATCACTGATTCTTTTATCCAATCAGTCACAGAAGTACAGAACAATTTATCAATGGATGCACAGTTAGGTTTCAATTAAAACTATGCAAATCGATGTTAAAAATCAGATTGATAATCTGAATCCTAATAATGCATCAAATTCTAATGAAGATGCGCTTGTGAAAAAATCAGGAAATATGATCAGTTCAAGTTGGGAGAATTTCACTCCGGTTTTTTCTATCTCAGAGTAAAAGAAAGAATTTTTTCATACGAATGTCCTTATTTTATTTAACAAGAAAAGTTTTAATGAAGTCATCTTGTTTCATCAGTTACAGTGCGAAAAAAATACGTGAAATCCCCTCTTGCCGCAGTACCAGAATTCGTCTCATAAACGTTTCTTCAAAAGACAGTGTTCAAGTTGCAGCTGTAGCTGAAATCCTAATCAACAACGAAGTATGTGTGGAGAAGATCGAAATGAGTTCGAGGAATCCCTGCGATGACTGTATTATGCTCTAGTTACCGAACTATTAATTATTCCACACTATTTCGTGGAGAGAGGGGGGAGGTATCACAGACGAATCCTCAACCTAGTAATACACCTTCATAACAAAATAATAAAATGTGAATAAACTATATGAGTATTTCAATTGTGAGAGACTATATTTTTGAAGAGTGACCTGTATAAGATAAGTGTAAATTTTGTTTCAATTCTGTGTTACTACTTTTCAGTGCTATTTCTCACACTTAAGAAACAAACCCTGAGATGACTTGTTTCCACTTATGACATACATTCAGTGTTTAGTTTGCTTACACACTATATATATATATATATATATATTCATAAAAAGATACTAAACTCTTGCATGAAAATTCATGATGATTATATATGCGTACAAGCATAACAAACAGTCTTGAAAATTGAATTGAGTATAAAAATGTTGTAAGAGTGAGGCGAATGTCTTAACTAGACTGACCTTAAATGAACCCGAAATCAACCATAACAACTAGAAGAAGAAGAACAAGAAGAAGGAGAATAATAAAAAAATTCTGCAAAACTTAGACTAGACACATTGTGTGATATAAGGTTAGCACGGAGAAAGGCGAAGACAATCAATATTATTTTATACAGCACCACACAGCAGAAAGTAAAATGTTACTTTTTTTCTGTTGAACTAATAATTAGAGACACTTTGAAAAAGTATTGAAACATTCAGGTCATTTAGGCTAGCCACTGGACAACACATCTAAGATAGAATTTTACACTTCTAAATAATACGTATATGTGTATATAAGAAGCCTACAAGTATCTTTAAACTGTAAGGATCGATCTATTCTTTTGTAATATGGTGCCACATATAAGAATAAACAAACAAACAAACAGACCAAAAAGAAATACTTGAAATGCTAAATCTTGTTTTTTTTTTAATTTTAGACTACTACGTGATTTACATTTTTGCTTTTCGGATAATGATAAGACACTAGAGAACGAACTATGTGGTAGAATAACGTCGCACGAGTCATCGTCATTAACAGAGAACACACACTCACACACACACAGACGTACAGAATTTTACTCTACAATAGACTGAATAAGAAGAAGCATATGTTGGTTATGATAAAGCACAGTCTTCTTTGTTCAGCGAAGAATTTCTTCTCAACGACTTCATTTCAAGCTGTACTGTCGTATTTATATTACAGAAAAGGTTATTAAGTGGCACTAAATAATTGCTCAGTCAATATTCATATATGTGATAAGAATGACGATAATTAAAATGTTATAAGGGGTAGAGTTGAAGTGGATAAATTACAAAATTATTAAAGATTGTTTTATAAGTGAATTGAAATCAAAATGTTAAAATGTCAACTGAATATCTTAAGCACTATTATTGAGATGCACACTGAATGTGCAATTTAGATTTAATGATTTCATCTACAATCAAAGGGATGGAGTCACAATGGGGTCTCCTTTAGGACCGCTGTTAGCGGATGTCTTCAGGGCTAGCTTAGAGAATGGCCCACTAAAGGAAACCATCGATAGTTTGTTTATGTATAAAAGATATATAGATGACACCTTCATTGTATGTGACGAAAACTCTTCAACTACCGAACTTCTTGGAATATTTAATGGTTCTCACCCATCTTTGCTTTTCACGGTCGATGAAGAGTCGAATTCCTCATTTCACTTCCTTGATGTTAAGCTAGATAGAAGAGAGAATGGCACGCTGTTAAGGTCGATTTACCGAAAGCCAACATTCACTGGGCAGTAAACTAACTTCAACAGTTTGGTACAGTTAGGGAGAAAGAGAAATCTTATTCATTCCTTATGCTCCAGAATTTGTAAAATCTGCTCTGCAGAAACAATCGATAGTGAACTAGATAAGCTTCGATCAAATCTCCTTAATAATGGTTATCCTACAAGGTTTATCGAACGTAATATCAAGAAAGAACACGCCCCCAGACAAATTAAAGTGCCAAAGAAGAAACTGTTTATGAGTCCGGCATTCAAAGGTGACAACATTTCGGAATTGATTAAAAATCGTTTATCTAAATGTATTAAACGTACTTTTCCTGCAGCTGACTTACAACTAGTTTTTACCAGCCGAAATATGATTAGACAATGCGTCAAGGATAGATTACCGCTTTTGTCCACTTCCAAGTGTATTTACTCTTTTACCTGCTCTTAAGGAGTTGTTTATATTGGACGTTGTAAGCGTAATCTCCGAATACGTGTAGCTGAACACTATCCAGTCTGGTTAATGAAAGGCGAACGTAGAACTGCTAAGTCGTCTATCTGTGATCACCTGTTACAGTCAGGTCATTTAGCCCCACGTGATTCATCTTTGAAAGTTATCTACATGGCAAAATCGAATCGATCCAAAAGTTTACGTTTTCTTCACTTATGCATAGCCGAAGCTTTAGCTATACATGAACAGAAACTTAAATTATGTGTTCAAAAACGTTTTGTCAAGCCCCTTTCTTTACCTTGGTCATAGTAATGTTCTTTCTAGTTTTTACTTTATTCTATTTTACCACTTAAATTCTTTCCACTTCACTTCACATCTTCATTCTTATCGTATTCGTACTCCTAATTTTTTAAAATTTTTAGACAACACTTGACATTTTTAAAATATTTTTGATTTCAATTCACTTATAAAACAATCTTTAATAATTTTGTAATTTATCCACTTCAACTCTACCCCTTATAACATTTTAATTATCGTCATTCTTATCACATATATATATTGACTGAGCAATATTAGTGCCACTTAATAACCTTTTCTGTAATATAAATACGACAGTACAGCTTGAAAATGAAGTCGTTGAGAAGAAATTTCTTCGCTGAAAAAAAACTGTGTTTTACTTATGAATAAATGGTATTTTCGTGACACTCTTCTTTCGCTGAAAATACTGCTATTTTCTTGTGCTATAAATTACATGTGTGATCACAAAACCGTGAAATGTATACCTTGTCCTGATAGAATGTTTAAGAATCAAGCTCTTTTAGTAAACGTGAAGAACAATCAGGAAACGTTCAGTGATAATAAATAAGACACAAGAGCAAGAGAGAATTTTCTTCCCAAAGGTAACGATGATACCTAGGAAGCGTCTGCAAAAGTACAAGTGTAGAAGCTAGACAAGAATAATCACTAGTTAGTTGTATGGCATAAAGGATACTCTAGTTCTACATTGATTTTGAATGGAAATCGAAAATTTATCATTACACTGAGGGGATGAAACACATATCATATATAAAGATACATATCTTGGAAGTGAGCAAGTTACCCTAGATTCACATGTGACACACGTTTAGCAAAAAACAATAAATTAAATTTTAAATTTTATTATAGCTTGACTCCACACAATATATTTTTTATACAAGCATGGAATTTTTAGCATGTGATATCGGTAGCCCAAATTTAGCAGGCCAACCATTGATATCAGGTGTGCATTGGTCGGGGATCGAACCCCAGACCATGTGCATGGTCGGCGAGCGTCCTAACCGCTGTGCCACCGACGCAATCAAATCAACCTGTGAGGAATTACTAGGTCTGTTGGTGCCATAAAAGCTCCTCATCGCAATATGATTCTTTGAATACAACAAAACAAATTGTATTGTAGATTTTCTGTGGTTAAACACATATTTCTAAGTATACATACTAATATATATATACTCAAAGGCTTATTAAAACAGAACGCATCACATGTAAACAAGTTGTAAGAGAATGAACAGAATGATGACACTGAGATGCATAAACATTATATAAAGAACTAAATGATGGATAAATATATATTCACTTACCTTCAGTTTCCAATTTACTTTGATAAGTTTTAACTATACGGTGCTTATTTCTATCAGTATTAGAAGGTGAAATGGATGAAACAATGACATTACGTTCCTGACAGTTATACCTGCAGTGTGAAGAAAAGCCAGGGAAATTAGGTTTTTTTTTTAAAGAAAATACACACCTTTAACGCTGAAAAGTTTTGAAATAAAACGTATTCAGATACAGTTGATTTTTTTTAAAAAAGGAATGAAAATAAGCCACAGGCATTACAAGCCATACAGGTTTATTTTAAATATACAATGTATATATATACACTTTTATACATATAGAAAAATACACCCTGGAGATGTCATTGTTCAAGCTAAAACTATATGGATCTGCCTCCACTGTTGAACAACACATAATAAAACGTTAAACCTGTTTCAATATACTCATGGATGTTCAAACTACGCTCACAGTGCTATAGTGATTACTTTGATAAGGCTGCAAGCATAAAGCCATGAAAGTTTATAGAAGAAATATGCATTGGGTAAATACAAAGCCTAAACTAAAAACAGTGAACACTTTAGATATAAGAGCTGTAAGAAAAAAAAAGAGGCAAAATACTACTGAGGCAAAGTGAAGTTCACATTGAGTGCTATTGTGCGAAAGAAATGATAAATTTTATAAGAAAATGATGGTAGTACTAAGCGCTTTCTAAGTGATTTTACTAATTTTCTTGTGAACCAAAATACACCAACGCTCAAGGTGCTAGTAAGAAATGAGAGACATTTAAGCATGTAAATGAGTTTACTTAAATTGCCTAGATAGAGCAGGATAAATGCAGGTAATCTCATGTCAAATGAAAAGGTTCGCATGAATATCCAAGACTCATTTGGAATACTCTTACTTCAACAACTTGTAACACAAGTGTGAAAAATGATACATCAAAGACCAACTAAATTGTGGAGCTAAAGGCCATGCTCCACTGCGCGGATAAGAAACAACATGATGACCAAATAAAGTGTCACACATGCTTTTGAACAATACCGTCTTTGAAATATTTGGATTATAGATGAACTGGTGCTAAAGTGAGGTACAGTATGTAGACAATCAACGTTTACCAATTAACTTGTAACAGTGGTGAGAATAAAACCTGTCACGAGGCGCTTATGTGCTTTAGTATACAGAACGTCAAAGTCAATATTCTAGCTGTGTTGAAAGGTTGATATAACACCTTTAGAACAGTCAAACGTAACGTCCGATATGATAACAGCATTCCTCTAAGCACGTAACAGGAAATCACTCAAAATCAACAACTTAAGGAAATACAAACTGTATTTGACCGCTTCCGTTCTACTTATTTAATTCTATCGAGATGAAAGAGCTGCAAGTTCGTTTTGCAATAACTTATATCCTCACTTTTGTGACAGTTGGCAGTTTAAGAGGAAAAGAAGAGAAGAATCGAGATACAAGTCGATGACAATCCCCTTACAAAAGTTGCATAAGTTTATAGTGTTAGTATTGATAACAGTACAGACGAGAAAAGACAGAAATACATAGAGAAGAAATGGAGAAATATAAAGGGAAACAGAACAACTGAGTTTATTGCACTGAGAAAACCTGAAAACTTGGTAATAATAATAACAAAGTAACTAAATATGCACCATTGAGATGTACCACTAACAGATCAAGGGCTCCAGTCACCAACACGAAAATTGCAAACGCTACTCATTAGCCGTTAGTATCACAAAAAGTAAGTGCAGAAGAAGGGTATCATACGGTGTAACGCAACAGCGGTATCTAGGTCAAACGCAAAGACTTTGACAACAACCGAATGAACGAAAAGCATGTTTATACGAAGAATATACTATTTTTGTATTAAATTACATAAATAGCAGCTGCACCACGACAATTAATGATATCAATTCTGGACGACAACTGAGGAATTGCATATCCCTTCACACCCCATCCATAGACAAACAAATCCTAAAGCGATATAACGACTTTCTGTTTCAAGGTAACGCATTATAAACTGACAACGTTTTTCGCTATACTAACCAGACTTCTTATTATTTGTATGAATGTTACGTAGTTTTTCGTTCGAGTAAAATTACATAATAGTATCCAGAGAATGTTTAGCTACAACATAGAAGCAGAAGGTTCAGACTTACTCCTAATACCCAGGACAGGGCGACAACCGACCTATAAACTTGTACTCACTTCCTGAATCAGTACCCTACAATGATTTAGTTAAACTTAATTCTATCCAAACGAAATGCTAATCTAGCTGGCGTCCACGGGCATAACGCAGGTATTTACCACCTCGGTCAGTGCATGCTGACAATTTCATCAAATGAAATGTTTTCATGACTTCCGCCTACGGCTAACTACAGTTTCATTTTCTCTAAGACTTCCCCACACGTTATACAAGGAGATATGTGATTGAAGTTGATAACAGTCTCATATCCTTCAGCCTAGACACTCATGTCTCCAAGTCATTCAGTGGCCAAAAGAGACAATCCGACATCTTGCAAATAAGACATATGAACCTAGCTAACTACACATTTGATCAACTCATTTTTCATACTTCCATTAATAGTTAATAAAGAACTATTCTGCAGTATATAACATTAAACAGATATATAATAAACAGATACAGAAACAAGGCATGTATAAGAAACACATTCTCGGAAGCAGTCCCTCCCCAACAGGATGACATGCACCATAAAGCATAAACTAATGAGACACTTTGTAGGTAAGAGATGATAAGAGTTACTTCATCAGTGCATTTGTAACAAGACTGAAGAGAAACGGTGAAACACCGAAATGCTCGTGTAACCGTAATGCTCAATTAGATTTTTTTAACGATCAAGTTTTAATGTTACGTAGCAAACTGAAATAATATACCGTATAAGTTAAATGTGTTAGAAAAGTGATAACTTACACAGAAACACTAAATAAAGTGAAATTTAGTAAAAATACAAATTTTATTTATTTTTGTAAGTATAATAGGAGGTTGAAGTAAATAAAATTTACAAATACTTCAGGCAAATTTAATAATACAAAATTGTTATATAACACTGATCTTGTCTAATCTTCAAACTAGCTAACATCAATCTGGATAAATTTCAACGATAGGGCTGAGGCAAATGTTTATTAGAATGTGATTGGACAACCTAGAAGCCTGAACTTATACAACCAGTTAAATTAGTTGTTTATGGGCTTAACTTTCCGAGGTGAATAATACTTGTATATAATGTGTTTTCGCACCATAAAATATTGATTTTTCTCACCTGCTGGGACCAACCTGTGCTTTGTCTTTATTTGCTTGAGTATTGGGGATCAGGAGAGATTGGAAATAGTTATTGGCATTGGTATTGTTCGATCTTCAAACAAGTTACTTATTACCCTCCAGTATTGAACCCTAGTCATAGTATTATCATTTGTGGCGGTCATATTGATTTTAACAAGGTTACTGAAACATTCATATCTAAAATTGTAAGGCTTTTGTCCTAACTTACTTAGAAGGTGCTTGGTGCAAACATAAGCAATAGATGAAAGATACCATCGACTAATCGGCTACTGAAATTGGGGTCACAGCATCGAAACTATTGCGCCCACGTATGAAGTTTTGGCAAGAAGCGATAAACCAACTGACAGAGTTGTAAGGTATGACCATAACTTGGTTAAAATACCTACTACTAATTACATAAACACACTTATGCCACTTACAAAGCAATGATTATTGATTCGCGTTTACTTTTGTGCAATCATCTACTATACATAATGAAAATACCAATTAAACATCAAGATTCTGTTGATGAACACAAACAGAAACAAGCAAGCAACGTTAGTGTGACTGGACATTGTTTGGATGCACAGTTACCACTTGAAGCTGTGAACTTGTCTGACAGTGAATAAAGGTCTCACGATTACTCCTTTCAAACAACGTGGCCGAACTATATGGGTTGTAAATGAGGTTTTAAGAGAAAGCATGTGTCCAACATCTTTCCAATGTTAAAAGATAGAACTACATATAGTTTGACTCTAACCTGTCAGCAACCAAGCTGGTTAGTGTTTGTAAAGACATTTTACAAGTTATTCCACACTACAGCAAAGAGTTAACTTCAAAGGAGTAAGAAACAATGTACTTCTACAATGATAGCGTCTAATACATAGAAATGTTCAGTGATGGCGCGAAAAACTCAATGCAGTGACCTGCAGTACAAAATAGTCCATTAAAGGACTTCGATGGGTTGATGAGTAAAGTTTGAGGCCATATCCCATTTGAATCTGAAGTCTATCAAAGCTGTTCTGTATTATTTTTCTTCAAATTCTGGTTTATCAACTTAAACGTGTTACGTATGCCTAGTCATCGCCTTCCTCGACGGGCAATGTTGGCTGATATTGGGTCAGGCTGGAAAAGAGCTAGCGGCGGTCAAACCAAAACATGGCACCAGTCAATGAAATCTACAACAGTTAGTCTAAGCCACGTAGGAAGGTGTAGACTTCCTGGTTGGGGTCCTCGGGACGGTAAAAACCAATGGTTGGAAACAATCGGTGACATGGCTCAAAATCTTTCTCAATGGCGCAGATGCATCCACTCCTTGTGACTTATGGTTTTCAATGAAACTGTTTCGTTCTCCATTATTACTATTCCTTTGTCTCACACCTCTGTTTACTGTCTATATTATGCACTTCTCCTACTTTCTTCTCTTTCTTTGTGTGCTACATGGAGTGTGGCGACTTGAACTGCCGCACATCGGTGCAAAGTTCTATGTCGAAAACAGACAGACAGAAACGTGTATATGTCTTAGAACAGCATTTATTGCAGAAATTCCAACTCTTCAACAGTGGTACTCTCAGCACATATCTCTCTAGAAGCATCAGTTAGTTCCAAAAAAACTACAGTTCACCTACCAGTAAATACGGTTTGTTACGTCTACACATGTTTCAAGTTGCATTTATTTATTCCTTATAGTGACACTTTTGCGACTTTTTCGGAATAAACTAAGTGATTTTGGTCAATTCCAACCAATCAATAGTGAGTTCTCGTGACTTCAGTGAAAAAAGAGTGTTGTATCACATTTCAAAATATCTCCATGAGTAAGTGACGAGCAATTTATTCAACGAATGGGGGGGATTCAATGTAAACGTTGTGATAAACAGACAACAGTTATAGGACCACTGAAAATCAAGAAGCTCTGGACAATTGTCTCTGCCTAGTTTGAGGATCTTCGACAAAGAATACCCTAGACGCCACCTAGAATCGAATACAAGGCCTCTAAGTTATGAGCCAATCGCGTTTACAATGTCGTCAATGCTTTGCAATTTAGTGACCCATGAGTTATGTATAGGCAACCCTCAAGTACAATTACGCTATACATATCTGGACCATAGACGTTATGAAGGTGTCTGGGAACAATCTGAATATCGACTCGGATTGATACACCATAAAAATTACTTAAATTTTTTAGGAAACCAAAACAAGTTTATTTTCATCCTATTTCTGTAATTCACAGTCTCTTTGAGAGGATTACTCAGATTGTATTACAGATCAAAATATGTAATCATATGAACTTGTATGTAGGTAGTTTTGTTGCTGAATTTTGTACATATCGATCGAATAATGATGACTAGTTATCATTCATTTTCATTACTCTACTGTCAATTTATCATTATTAAATAGACAAAATCTGCGTATAATGTAAGTGTTAGTTATTATCTCGGAAACAATAATTCATGAGTGATGATCACAATGACTATTCTATTGTTCAAAGGTTAAAAAGGCTAACTAGCTAATCACAAATTATCGGTTCTGATTAGTCACAATGTCTACACATTGTGAGTGTGTCTATAGAGTCTATTCCTTCTCTCCCATCGATTACATTCGATGTAGTTTTAATTTTCTAAGCTAAAACAAACTAGGATTACTCTGAATAGTTTTATAACCACCATCTATTGTCTTTTAAGCTAATAAAGTATCTTCAAGTATTGGTTTTGTAGGGGTTTAGTTTGATTGGTTGGAGGATTTCATCATGAGCTGACATCAGTTAGAGAGCCATTGGGAAATCTGGGAGTACTGGACAGCTGTTTCGTCCTAGTTTGGGACTATTTATCAGTAATCACCCACTGGGGTTCGAACTCGAGATCTTCCAGTTAAAAGGCGAGCTCGTAGACCATTAAGCTACTGGGATCCGACCTAATGGTCCATGAATTCTAACTTCTGCCAGTAAGATCGGGTCCCAGTAGCTTAATGGTCTACGAGCTCTCCTTGTAACTGGAAGGTCCCGAGTTCGAACCCCAGTGGGTGAGTACTGCTGAAGAGTCCCAAACTAGGACGGAGGAAACAGCTGTCCAGTACTCCCAGATTTCCCAATGGCTCTCTAAGTGATGTCAGCTCATGATGAAATCCTCCAACTAATCTAATAAAACATCACTATACTTTTTATGATAAACTGTGTTGGTAACCAAGAGTTACTAATTTGCAGTAACAATGTATAATATGATATAGAAGTTTAAGTGATCCAATATGCGTACTGCCCATCATTGACCTTAGTACTCTCAAGTGTATGATATATGCATGTGAGTAGTTAGTTATACTATAACGAGTATAATAGAAAACAGTAGAATGTGTAGAAAGAACCAGGTTAGTCATGTGAACCAATAAGAAAGAAAGAAAGAAATAATTACAACGATATGAAAGTGTATTATAAATTCAACTTATTGGTTAAAATAAACAGTTATGCATTATTCTGTTGTTGTTGTTTTTATTTTGAAGAACCACTTCATCACAATTGATGATATGAAGTTTTGAGTTTACTTCCAAAGTAAATTTAGTTAAGAGAAGAAATTACACTATATTAAGTGCATGTATTAAGAAGTCTACCAAATTTTAATAAGCATACAAGATGTATTTAAACAGGGAAAAAGGATTATGATAAATGAACACTGAAATCATGACTAGTTGTCTAAGCATGTATCTTTTTTTTTAATAAAAAAAATACTACTTGAAAACATTACACTAACTGTCTAAATTCTAGATTGTGAGAGATTGGAAGGACAATACGTAGGTAATACCTACACTTAAGCTGATTTACTTCAGCGCCTGCCATCTTTAATTGAGGGGTACTTGCCCTTAATCCTTCACCAATCACTTTAATCTAAGATTGGTAGCCTGCTGAAATTATTGAGCTACTTGAACTTCCATCTAGCATAATGCATCAAATTTTCTTTATATCTTGTTTTAATCATTTAATTATGTCGTGGGGTCGAAAAAAGTGTACTCACGCGCACTTGTAATTGGCTTTTAGCATACTGCTGGGCCTTTCTCAAAGAAAATGAAGTATAATGTCAGAGGGGATTTGGTTTGTGCTTAAGGCGGAACGGTGCCGTGTCACATGATATACTACTGACTGTTATTTTGCTTAAATTTTCTGGACTAAGAGTAAATAATTATCCAATAAAATACGTTGAGAACTGTGTACAGTGTGTAGACATTTTGTCTAGAATAAAGCTGTAATTATTATTGGTGACTTGCTACAGGACGGAGTTTCCTGGAGTTCTAGTGAGAAGTCGTGACCAGTGAGGTCCAACCAGTCAAGTGTGAGGATGGATTTCCCACCGATGACACTGGTTGGTGGTCGCGCTAAATCACGAATTGGTAGAAGTTAGAATTCATGGGCTGGCCATTGAATTGGGTCCCAGTGGCTGAGTGATATACGAGATTGCCTTCTAACTGGAAGGGCCTGGGTCCGAACCCTGGCGGTGGGTGCGTACTGCCGATGATTCCCAAACTAGGATGAAACGGCTGTCCAGTACTCCAGTGCTGGTTTTCAATGGTTCTCTAACTGATATCAATCCGTGGTCAAACTCGTAAAAATTATTATTAAAACCTAAGCAGTCGGTCAGTGAAATAAGTTTTCGAACGTAAAAATATTGGCTTAAAGTTTGTTGAATAAACTCGCAACTGCGATCTTTCAGTTTGTTTCATACACTTTGTGCTATCTCATTTTCATCCGAAAGACACGCTAACACGCCAAAGTAAACCGAAAATCTATCGAATACTAGAATTATTGACAATGTAAACTGAAAATTCATAAAATATATATATATATAAAAGCAACCTATTGATACAAAAGAGGAACGTAACGTACTTTTTTTGTTCTGAATCACTTGACACAGATGAATTGTCAGATTCATCGTCCGAAATCTATTAAGATGTGACAACAACGAAATGAAGTTGATTTTATTTCAATTTAAAGGGTAGTTACTATTGCATATTACGTACATTTTATTTAATGTATATCTTTACATAACATTTATCAGATACTGTAGTAGATTTTCTAGGGGTATACAGCATTAGCAGTAAATACAGCTATGATGGACTATTCAACAAAAAATGTGTTGATGAAAACAGCACTTTTATAAGACATAGTGATTGTTTTTAGAAAATGGATTCACTTCCGCATTGTCTGTAAACACATGTGTCTCAGAAAGCTAATTAGCGCGATTTATGCCACTGCATAAATGTAAAGCTAGACGATACAGAAGTAATGTTGCTTTCTAAGTGGAACATGGTGCTTCAGTAGTGAGCTTTGAAGTTTTAGTAGTAGTGGTCTTTATTTTTTACAGGGCGGGATTGACAGCCTCAAGCCAAACCTACCCTTGTTACCGGGTTTGCCACCGGGTAAGCGACGTTTAGGAGTGTGTTGGCGTAGATCGAAGCCCTGATCAAAACAGACGTGATTGTTCAGTATTCTACCACAGAATAACCAATGCACGGAAGTGATGTTAGTGCTCCAAAAGCTTAGAGGTCATGAAAGTCATGGCATCTGAAGGTAAACGGCTGCTGACGACAATAAGGATACGGCCTAGTTTTGAGTAACTACATTTATGGTAGCAAAATAACACATACTGAAGATGTCAGATTGAAGTTTCTCAACCCAATCATACTGTTAATTTGAACAAAAAAATAACAACACATGGAGCATGATAAAACGGATGCATTCGACTTTGCCGGGGTCTTATCAACCGCATACAACATAAATAATAAAATTATAAGTTTCCAGACCGTAGATGTTACGAACTTCCTGGAATAATTTGAGCGCCGAGTCAGATTGATTCATTATAAATTATTTAGATTAATCCCAGCGTGTTTAAGAAAACATCAAAACAAGATGTTTTTGAACGTTTCGCTGTGTAAGCCACAGCTTCTTCAGCAGAATTTTTAAAAGTTAATAGCTTTATTACAATTTTTGATATATTTTATTTCATTGGGGTTAAAATGTAAAGCAGTAATTAGGAATGATCCTCGTGTAAAAATGAGTTCAAATATGAAGTTCCAGTACAGTTTCTCGATCCCCGATTGCTTCCTACGTTTTGTTCCAATCGAGAAACTTCGATCACATTACATTTATATATGTATATAAGTACAGCAGTATTTTTATATTTTACTAACTTAAAATTTCGTTTCATCGTTTAAACCATGATCATTTTTAATTATTACTAGAAATTTTGATCTTCGATGGACTAAATTATGTCAGAATTGTAATACAACTATTAACTTTCATTATTCAGATTGTATGCAGTTGAACAGATACCGGTAGAATAAAATAGATCGATTTTATCCTCCTCCTCAATGTGTTGCTGTGACTGCTTTGTTCAAATTTGTTTTAAGGAGAATTTGTGAATGAAAAATAGTGTGAATAATATCAAGATTAAATCAGTGTTACAACAAAGGAAATAGATACTAACATATAAGCAAATAAACTTATTAAATGCCAACACAAGATATTTGGTACACATAGATTTTAACTATCAATCAGCAGGCGGCCTGATATATATATATATATATATATGTTCACGAGCGCGTGAACACTATCCACAGAACATCTGGTCAATTCAGGACATTCAGCGCCTTTCGAAAAATCCTTCAAAGTAATATACAAAATTCAATCAAACCTATCAAAGGGAGTGAAATTAAGATATCTGGGCATAGCCGAGGCACTAGCTATCCAAAAGAAATACATCCAACCCATGTCCCTGCCATGGCCATCATAAACAGGTAATTCTTTCAGTAATGACCATCCCATCGCCTTTCTTATCTAAACTTCCTGTTTATTCATGTTATTTTTAAGTTTTTTTTTAATCCCTGTTTACACTGCCATATTTTCATATCCACACTTCCTGTTTTTTTTGTCATTTTACTATTTCTACATATCCAATCCCTGATTGCAGAAACAATTATTCGTCACATTAGTTTTTTATCCAAACATCCTGTCTATTTTTGTTATTTGTACATTTCTAACCCCCAATTGCACAATATGTCAATCTTCTCAATAATTATGATGCTACTTTGTTTGAGTTTTATCCGTCCCCCTGTTTATTATGGCATTTTAATTCCTAATTTTAATTTTATTAATTTGACCCTTTAACGGAAATTATTCTGGAACTTTCCCATCCATTTGATATAAATACACGAATGTACAGCCTAGATGATGACTTCGTCGAAAAGAAAATTTTCTTCGCTGCAACTGTCTTCTTAATAATTCCGTGTGTGATGATGCAAATTGTTCAAATTACATGTGGCCATACATACATGGATAGGACTCATTGATCTTTGCAATTAAGGACTTCAGAGTATGTTCCGAAATGGCTTCAGAAGCAAATGGAATCCCCAGAACCCACTAATGGTGAGAACAGACGACCTAGCTCCTCTATTGAGAAACATATTATAGAGACAGGACATAAAATTGATGTTCACACACATCTTTTAAACCTATCTATAAAAAACGTGTTTGGAGTGCATCCTAAAGTTTGTGGAAGCCCTAGCAATTAAGAAGTTCAAACCACCTTTATGCATTCAAAAACAATTCGTCATAGCACTAAACCTTCTTTGGTAAACTTTGTTCTGATACCAGTTAGGACAGATGTACTATTACCTCTGTTATTTGGGTTTAGTGATCTCCATTGTTATTTTGACCTTCCATATGTCCTTCCAAATTGGCCTATGTCTATTTTATCATCCGTCAACGCATTGTTATCTACACATATGTTCTTATGACAAGTCTGTGTATGATCAGATTGTTCGAAATGTGTTGTGCAAACACATTACACTATTCAGACAAATTATGTCTTCTTCTGGCTTTGTAGAAACAAAATCAAAAAAACAGAAAATTTTAGCGAAGGCTACCTGTGCCAAGTGTATTTTATATTTATAAAAAAAAAGAATTTTATGTTATTGATAAAATTAACTTACATGAACAGAGCCTTCCGAAGGTATCTTGCGAAGAGAATGAGTGATTGTGACAGGTCTATGAAAAACTGGAGTATCTAATAGATGCGATGTTTTGGGAGGAAAAACTGACGTTGGAGAGACTACTACCTCAAAACCTTCACTGTCAGAGTCATCAACATTACTTGGTGAATGTGCAGTCTTGTGAGGTGATGAAGTAGCCGGATAATCATCAACTGTATCAGGTTCACCAAAAGTAGGATCATCTGAAATTTCATATATAATCACAAAATAGTTAATAAGCTATCAGGAATACATGGTATTTTCTTTTGAATGCAGTTTCCCTAAAAGTGGATTCGACTGTTAAAACTGTGAAATAAAAAAAACACATGAAAAGCTGAGTTTTGTTATTCTTGAATAAATACATAACTTTCTTATGTTGCCGAAATGAACCGCAAAAATTACAAACACCTAAATTTGTACAATGGAAATAGGAATCGAATTTCAATCTAGATTTATACTGTTTGTAGCCTTAGAAAAGAATTTTTAGAATAAACTATTTTTTGAGAATACAAATAATATCATCTGATTTCAGGAAGAAGGAATGCATGCACAGAAATATATTATATATGTATTGGTCTCATTTTTTGACATATGTAACAAGTGATACTGTATGTATATTTCTGAATACATACGGGAATAATTGCCAAGATTCGTAAAAGTATCACATGATCTACTTTATCTGCGAGGGAAAAAATTCAAGGTGTACGCATACTTTTATGCTCACAGTCACTTAGATGAAAGGCACTCCGTGTTTTACCGTCTTCATTTATTATTCATGTGGTAAGTATTCAGTAACTTTGTTCTGATAAGCTGAGAATAGAGTCATATAATCCTCAGAGTAGATTTCTTAATGATTAAATCATGTTGAAATGAAAAAAGAGTTTTACAACAATAAGAAGCAGTGATACAATATTCACCGATAGGTACTGTTGCTTAGACTTTTGGATACAAGTAATGTTACATAAAGCTAAAATGTTCTGATTAGTCAGTCTGTTATCTTAAGGCTTCAAAAGAAATTGTAATCACTTCACATGTAAGCGATACATTTTCAAACATCTCGATCGCTTACAAAGTTGTATGAACACAGGGTTAATAATAGCTATTATGATAAAAAAATGTAACCTAACACCTTGAAACCTGAGTTTTATGTGATATGGCGATTGATATTTGACCATCTAGCTAAAATATGTTTCAGTCGAGTTGTTGACTACAGCGAAGAAGTTCTGCAGGATAAAATATTTTAAAAAACTTTTCTCCTAACAAACACTTAGATTATGTGTGCTAAATGTTTATGATTAACCAATAAGTCACGTAAGTCGCATCGGTCATGATAAAGTGACAAATGATAAAACCTTAGCATAAACAAAATCAGTTAGTTTTGCTTTAGAAAACATAGATCATCCATAGAGCTGATGAAACATGAGATGAGACGTAGCAATGTATCTGTTCGTAGAGATAAAAGGAACGCCAATGGGATCGTCCATATCAGTAATAATAGCTGAAGCTGTCATGCAAAGATTAGAATTAATAGCACTACCTATAATGAAACCAAAAATCTGGGTACTTTACGTTGATGATACATTTGTAATAATTAAAAGAAATGATTTGGAATATACCTACAAATTAATTAGCAACATATTTGAAGACATTAAATTCACAAGAGAAGAAGAATTAGACAACAAAAATCCATTCTTAGATGTGTCTTAATCAAGAGAACTAACACAGGAAATGTAGAAACACACACAGACCAAATACTTAACTATAATAGCAATAAGCCACTTAATCACAAAAGAAACTCTGTGCAGACATTGTTTAAAAGAGTTCAAATACACTGTAGCACTACTCCTGTGTTGAAGATAATGGAGGAAAAATACCTACTAACCGTCTTCAAAAAGAATGGATATCCTCACAATTTCATCAAAAAGTGTTTAAACTCGAGTCATAACACCAACAACAAGCCAACATCAAACACCACAAGAAAATTCATCCTACTACGCATAAAAAATATCTCTGAAATAACAGCTAAAATATTAAGACCGTTTGAAACAGATATATATCACACAAGCCAGCCAGCCCAATCACTTCACTAGATATTGTGCAAACCAAAAGATCCAACAGAAAAAGATGAAATTAATACCATTTATAAAATAAACTGTATGAACTGCAATAAACATTACATCGGTCAAAGTGGGCGTCCCCTTCGAATCCGAATCGAAGAACACAAATTGACTGTAAAAAGACATGATATAATTTTTTCGTATCAATGCATATGGATAATTATGGGCACCAATTTGATTGGGATAATGTAGAAATTTTAAGTGAAGGAAACACCAGAAATGCCAAGGAATTTCTAGAAACCTTGTGCTCAAATGAATCAACCAGCGATTAACAAACGCATTACTATGCACCAAATTTACCAGCTAATAAAAAGTAAATCACGTGATGACAAGAAAGTTCAAATTTTAAGTCAATAAAAATAATCAATAAAGACGTAAATTAACATCCAGTCACGACAGTCGTTACCAGGAGATACAATTACATCAATCATACAGAATTTAAATAAGTCCATTTTTTACTAAAACCTGCGCTGAAGGTGTTGCCTGGAAGGACAACGAAAGCTTCGCGATTAAATCAACCAGCTCAGAGAACACAATTACTTCAGTGTATCTAATATTTAGTATACAGGTATGAGGCAATGTGGTGGAGTGAATCATTTAATAAAGTCACCGGTTCGAACCCTACTCCTCCACAGTCCGGATAGCTAGATGACTCTTATAAAATACACTCAGTTTATTGCTAAGTGCATCAGCGGGGATGTGGTTGCTGAGTAACATTACTAATAAAGTTAAACAGTTTTAATGGAGGACTTCGGTGGGGCTATGTGACTTGAACTTACCAGAAACTCGAGAAATGAGCTAGTGATTAACTTACGTTGATCGCTTCAGGACACTTCAGTGTGTGTCCTGCTTTGTTATCAATAGAATAAAAGAAGATAATCTCTAGCTCAATTCTCAGGTATCTGAAAAAAGTAGTTCACAAAACTCCACAAGCGTCAGATAGTTTGAAAAAGACTAAGTATTTGACAACCACTGATTTCAAAAAATCGCCCATGTATTGTAACACAGATATAAAATGAGAAATTTTAATTGTCAGCTAACTGATGAAGTTACAAGCCTAGAGGTTCAAAAACAGCTTCAAAGTAAAGTTAAGTTAGGAAGATTCTTGAGATAGATACAGCAAAATACTAGCATAATTGTATGAACTCTCCGACTTTCTGTTTGACAATGGGTCGCGGTTTCGAATCCCACTTCAACAAGGCTGAATAATCAGCCCTCTCACAAGCAGGTACAATTTTCTGAATCAGAATTTTTATTTCTGTCCATCTGACATGTACAATTCTGCTCTAGGATTGCAATATATATAAAGTGGTACTTGAAACTTGCTCAGTGATACTAGATACTATGTTATGAAATTCACTTGACCAAAAGTGGAGCAGTGGTTCATTTATCTAAGCGCTGGACTTCCAACTACTGGGTCATGAGTTCGAACTCTACTACACCTACCAATGTTTGAACACCCAGGTAGCCCTCACACAATATGTGTAGCTCACTGCCAACTGCATGGAATGGCAATTGGTTGCTGAGGAATGGCAGCAGCAAGTGAGCAATCTCTCGCAAATACTGCATACGATAATTAAGCACTCTGAATATCTGAAAATACTGTGAGTAGCTTTTAGTGGTATAAATTTTAAATCTGAGAACTCTAAGTGTCACCCATTGTTAACGCATTTATTTACTGACAAAACCCACAAATGTTCAAAAAATCAATGCATCCACTTGTAGTATGAGGCAAAATTTATATCAGATCAAAAATCACAACAAATATTGTATTGATGGTGACGTTTCCAATATAGAATGTCTCAACATACAACTGTCAAGCTTCATCACAAAATACAGAAAATTAACTCTGCGGAAAAGTGGTAAAATGAAAAGACTAGTGGATTCTCCAAAGCGATCGATTTTACAACAGGTGTTTTGCCACGTCTAACTGTTCGTTTCTCATGTCTCCAAAATACCGACAGCATTACTAATTCTGTTTTCCCGATGAGTCTTGGTAATTTTATAAATGAGCAACAGGAATTCAGAACCTCCATATTGTTCAAATATTGCTTTAATGGTAGATTTCGTCATGAAATGACATAGGTCAAGGAACTATTGAAAAATAATGAGCTCTGAATAGGTGTTTCATCCAAGCTTGGTACTCTTCATCAGTACACACCTATGCCACCTCTGAGGACCAAACGCGAGACCTTCAGGCTACGAGCCAAGAGCGTATAAAATCAAGCCACTGACACGAAATCCAGTGCACTATGCATTCTGACTTCTAAAGAGTCCAAGACTGGTGCGAAACAACCCTCAACTTCCTATATCATACAAACTTATCTAGTAAATAGTTGCACTATAGCCAAATACTGCTATTTTGTTAACTGTTTTATACCACTTGTCAATTTCTCTAAGGTAAAGCAGGTGCTCAACATGCGTTCCAGGAGCTAAAATCTTTACTGGCTTAAAGTTTAATTGACTGACTTACTTTATGGTCATAAACTCTACATCTAAGGTCAACATACCACAGTTTGGGAAGACTTGGAAGATAATTAGGAAGAGAAGTCTATATTTTCCCCTTTCAACAGCTATGACTCACAGACGCAGGATAGTGCAAGAAGAATCATTCTGCATTACAATCGGTCTTTGATAATCAGTTGGGTGTTTCAGTGATACTTCAGATGGTTAAATCTGATGACCGGTAGGAGAAAGTCAAATAACAATATCAAAATTTCGCTATAAGTCAGACTCAAATCACCTTTATAAATAAGGAAAGCAATCAATACACTTAAGCCCTTGTTTCTTTCATCCATAACAGAATAATTTTATTTGGTATAACATACAGTAACGCAGTATTATTTATTTAATGAGAACCTTTTTCGAAATCATATTAAAGTATTCAAATAACTTCCAGACTTTGGTAATATAGTTTCGCTATTTCTTATCCTTTGAGTTTATTGGTGAAAATATTTTGCATTATCTCTGATATTGGTATTGTGTCATTCCTAATGTACGTGTAACAATGCTTCTAAGCTTTCTGTTGTACCAGTTAGAATGCTCGCTCTATTGTTTAGCAACTTAACTAAACCTGTCTTCATTGA